GCTGGGGAGAGGGAGGTCTGGGCCTCCCTTCTGAAGCTGCTGCCCCCGCGACCCGACCCCGGATAGGCGGAAGAAAATGGATGGATGGATGGAACAAAGCTGCAAATCTGTCAAATTCTTAAATGACAACAGACTGTTTTTGTAAAGTCAGGGAGCCTTTTTACCACTTTGTTAAAGAAACAAATGTGATATTCTGAGCCTGAACTCTGTTAAACCAAATATGAGTTTACCTGTGTAGTGTCCAAAGAGTAGGGATCCTCTTCTCAGCAACGCACAGATGTGATGTCTGTTGGTTTTTCCAGCTTCAGAGCTCGGCACATATTACCATATTTGGAAGAAGAATGCTTAAGGTATACCATGACAAAATTCATGAGGCGTCTGTTGAACCACACTGTGAAGCCTATAAAGAGCCTTGTACGCCCCCGCTCTTGGCCTTCGTTCTCCATCTTTCTTACTTGGTGAATCATTTGGCTTGGAGGCCACAATTTGGTTTTCGGCTGTAATCTCCTGGAACTGCAAATAAAGCTATTTTGCTGTTCAACCAGCCTTTTCAGAGTCCTTTCTTCATTGAGCAACAACAGTTCCACTTCAACCAGAAGATGTGGTATTTTTTACACCTCACCTGTTTTCCTCTGTGATAACAACTTTCTTTTCTGCAGGTGATCAAGGTGACCGAGGGGACAGAGGACCAACAGTGAGAGGACCCAAAGGAGAACCAGGGGCTCCTGGTCTGCCAGGTAAAGGGCGAGCATGACTAAGATATTTTATATGTTCCTATAGTTACAGCTTGATATTTCAACAAACATCAACTTCCTTCTTTCAGTTCTATAAGTAATTTGGACCTTTTTTTAAATCTAATATAAATTGTTGATATTTAGATGTATAAACTGTAGAGGAAATGGGAAAAGAATCAGAAGAAATGTTATAGCTCTTGCCAGTGGAATTTTAGGGTCATCAAACAGGCTGTGGCTAAGTGCTTAAAGGAGTTGTCCTCTAAACCAGTGATTCCCAACCAGGGCTATGTGTACTCCTAGTGGTACATGAGCATATTACAGTGGGTGCGTGGGGAAAATTTCCAGCTGTCTATGAAAATAAATAAAAATTGGACAGGGATATGTACACTAGGTTCCTATGATTTCTGCAGTGCAGAAAATGCAGACAAAACAAAATGGAATCCAGTACAAAACATTTTAATAAAAACAATTTGCTTATTTTGTGTGAGTTTTTGATGTATTTTAGATGCTGCTGCTTCCTTCACCTGCCATTACCTGGTTTATTTATTTAATTACTTATTCCCTTTCTAGGCCAGTGTTTTTCAACCCTGGTCCTCAAGGCACACAGCCCTGCATGTTCTAAGCCAGGTTCACACCGAACGTGTGTTGAGCAGCCAAAATGTGCCTGATGCTTCAAGTTGGACGCTTGTCAATAATGTCCCGAACAGACTGAAGAGGGAGGAGCGTCTTGGTTTTTTCCAGTCTGTCTTTAATGACGGGTGAAATAAAGATAAAATAAAGAAAACGGCTTTACTTTATTTACTGAAAACAACTGAACGTTGCACAGAGCAGATGATTAATTCACCAGATAATTTAGACGCAGTTTGTTCAGTTAGTTTCACCACTCCAGGAGCTGTGAGCTGACAGACTATTTTTTGTCCCGAGCCCAGTTTATCACCGCGGTCATTTCAATGAGCTGCTGACCCACATCGGTGCTGATACCTCCAGCCAGAACACCAACTGCAGATGGTCCATTTCAGCTAAAGAGCTCCTGTCCGTCTGTTTCAGGTTCAGGAAACCGTCACGTGGAAAATCTTTTCTCTCTGATTGGTTGGTGAGGCGCGTCGAGCAGCAAAAGTTCATTTTTGTTGAACGCGAGCGTCGGCTGCTCGACGCACCGCATGCACAGAAAACACTACTGCTACCTTACGCGCTGCTCAGAACACGTTCGGTGTGAACCCAGCTTTAGATGTTTCCCTGCTTCAACACACCTGATTTAAATAGATAAATGATTAGCAGGCTTTTGTTGAACGGCAGTCATCTGAGTCAGGTGTGTAAAGGCAGGGAGGGCAGTGTGTCCTGAGAAGCAGGGTTGAAAAACACTGTTCTAGGCAACAAATTATTCTTTGTTTAATTTGAGTTGAAAAGAATAAAATGTAAGAATTAAATGTTCTATGGAGTTAAATAAATTATTTTCATTTAATAATCAGTTGTACATTATAATTTTGCTATTATGTTTGACTGAGGGTTTTCACAAGTCTGAAAGGTTTGGGAACCACTGCTCTAAACAGAGAGTTGTGATTGATTTCCTGCTATTCAGTCACGTTAAATGATGTGTGTCCCATCAGTGTGTGAGTGTGATTTAAAGCAGTGTTTCCCAAAGTTGGGGTCGGGACCCAAAGTGGGGTCCCGAAACATGAAGGTGGGGTCCTGAAAAGATTTTCTGAATTAATGACATTTTTGCCTTAAATGTTACGAATGAGTGAGATTAGTTTATTTAAAATGGATAAATGTAGTATAAAAATATTGTTACTATGCCCATGTTTTGTTGACCTGATACAAATGTTTATCATCCAAAAATAGTTGGGGCCACAGGTCTCTGCTACTGTTATTTTGTGGGTCAAAAGCTGAAAAGTTTGGGAACCACTGCACTTTGGTTCCCAAAGTTGGGCTTGGGACCCAAAGTGGGGTCCTGAAACATCAAGTTGGGGTCCTGAAAAGATTTTCTGAATTAATTACATTTTTGCCTTAGCTGTTCTGAAGGAGTGAGGTTAGTATGTTTAAAATG